AATTATGACAGCTGCTGTGTGTAGCTTTTCAGAAAGCTTTTCTATGCCTTTAAATACAGCTACCATTTGATATGTCCTTTACTAGGAAAAAAACATCTATAGATCAGCACCCTGTACAGAGTCCAGCAGTCTATAAGTGTTACTTGCCAGCATTTACGAAGCAGTGACGCACACAGTGTAAAGGTTTCGCTAACGCCAATTCACATGTACTGCTTCCAGTAAAAGTTGACTTAAAAACACTCTCCTCTCCTCATCATCCCCAAAGCACGACATCCTCCCTCCCTCCTCCATGAACTACACGGTTCTCCTTTCTGCCTTTATCATGTTGCATTTCTCTCAATTTTAAAAGGCACATGAATAAAGGCATAGCCTGAATTCATGAGGAAACAAAAAAAAAGTTTTCCCACACTTTTAAATCTCTCAAATTCTAAATATTTAAAGATATTTTATTATGCCACTCTAATACCTATTTACAGTCTTCAAAGTGTCACTCTGCCTCTGCATTTTCCAGTCTCTCCCACACCCTTGCTGCTGTACTTACTGCAAAAGAAGGGAGCAGAAAGGACAGGATAGCTTCAGCCCTTTCACCTCCTATACATTTATATAACGTGTGCTGTCCCTGCCTCACAGACATCACAATTTAAACAGATGAGGTTGGGAGAAAAGAAAAACAATTTACCTCATTTATAGGTTTTCTGGTGTCATGGTTTGAGCTCAGAGGGCAACTGAGCACCACACAACCGTTCATTCCCCCCTCTCCCAAGCGCTGAGAAGGAGAAAATAAGCCAGGCTTGGGATTCAAGGTAGGACAGGGAGGGATAAACCACCCATTATGGTCACAGGCAAAAGACAGACTCGTTTGGGGAAGAAAAAAAGAAGATATATTTATTACAGACACTAACAACAACAAGACTTAACAGAGTAGGACAGTGAGAAGCATTATCACATCTTGAGAACACCTTCCCCCCACCCCTCCCTTCTTCCCGGGCTCAGCTCTGCTCCCGATATCTCTACCTCCTCCCCCAGCAGCACAGGGGCAGGGAATGGGGGGTGCAGTCAGTGCTGCCACTTCTTCCATCTTCAGACGGGGGAACTTCTTCCCCCTGCTCCAGCATGGTCCCCCTCTCACAGCAGACAGTCCTCCACAAACTTTCTCCAACTGGATTCCCTCCCACAGGCTGCAGCCCTTCCTGAGCTGCTCCAGCATGGGACACCCCCGCGTGCTGCAGTCCTCGCAGCGCTGAACTACAACAGCGGGGGCTGCTGCTTCCCACAGGGTCCCGGCTGGTTTTGGGCATAGCCACCTTAGTTGACCACGTGGGGCCCCTCCCAGGCCATAAATCAGTGTCTGCTCCACCGCAGACCTTCACGGGGTGGGGCAGCACCTGGTCATCTCACCACAGGTTACAGGGGATCTCTGATCCGGCACAACTCCCCCCTCCTTTCTTCCTAATGATCTTGCTCATGATCACCTAAATAAGTTTATGGCAAAAGTAAGAACAGAACTCTTACATCTCCACTCATTAGATTGATTCCAATAACATCCTCCCTTTCAAGAGCAAAGTGTCCAGTCGTTTCTTAGCATGAGAGGTCAGGAAGAACTTTGGCTGCAGACAGACATTCATCTCTCATTCTCTCCCACCTGAGAAGTGATCATGTTTTCATGCACTCCATGACTTGAATGCACCGGTAAATGTCACACGCATAAACATTTACAGCTCTATCTGCAACAAATGAGGTATGTCCTGTTCATACGGACGGTAACAGTTCTCTGCAAAATTCCCTCACAAAAACACCCCAGTGGAGTCCCAGACTCATCTGCCTGACTTTTTGCTTTGTGAATTAATGGGTTTGAATGTATATCAATACATGGAACCTTAGGCACGTATAAGAAAGAGAACCAGCAAAAATAATTCCTGCAGACCAATTCCTCTTGGAAATTCCTTCACTTGTGTCTGCAAGATAAAATAAGCTAACAGTCTACAGGTCCTGGGGAGAAGGAAAAACCAACCAACCAAGGAGAAGGGCTGGGAGTGGGCAAGTGGGAAAAGAATAAAGCAAAATAACCTGAGAAAACCCTGCGTTTATCCCCTTACGGAAGCACCTGAAGGAAGCCCAGAGCTGCTACCTACTTGAGCAGAAGAATCAAGCAAGCAAGAAAAGAACAGGAGACTGAAGCCCACTGCCACTTTGTTATAATGCTGATGGAACGCAGCACGAGGCTGCTCTCGACAGCTCAGGACAGCTCTTCCTATCTTGTGCTCTCATAGCACAAAAGAAACTTCACAAAATCAGCACAATGGTTCGTGCCTTCACACCCTAATCCCCACTGTGGCAGCAAGAGATACTCTCAAGGAATAAATCCCCCTGCTATAAAGCTACAGTTGCAAGGTGGCATATTGTAAGAAAGAGGAAGTGATTCTAATTCAGCTCAGATTCCTTCATTCCTGCACCTTCAAGAAAGACAAGTTTAAGGAATCTGCTTTACCAGTCATGCCTTCACTACATTCTGCAAAAGCCACTCCACTCTCTATTCTGATCTGGCCAGGCAGCGCAGTACATTCTTCATCTCCATGCCCAGGAGCCTCTCAACAACTCTAGCTGGCCATGATTACCCATCAGCTTCTACAGAGAACGTGACGGGCACTTTTGAAACGGGAATGAAGTTAGCAAATTACCAAACTTGAGGACAACATCCATAACCTCCCAGTTAGTGTCTACTGTACCATGTAAAAAAACATAATGTGCTTCTTCATAGTCTTTCCCTTTTTTAGACGCTTTGTTAGAGTAGCACTCCACAGACACACCCCCTGAGTCACTAGCTGGAGACAGTTCACATGCTTCAGTCCTACCCTCATGCCAACAACTCCAGTTTAGAAGCCAGAGCAGAGACAGAGAGAGAACATCAAAAACAAATTCAGCAAGTTCCTCTCACCTCTCACTTGCTAAATTGAACAATATTTACATTGGTCAGCAGTATCTGCCAGGGAATTAATACAAAAGCAAGCATTGTTTTGGCCAATTTATTGAGTAACTAGAATATTTTCTGAACAAACACTTCCCTCACCCTATCAGCTGCACCCATCCAACCACTGTGCCAGTAAAGGCACACAAAAGAGTCTCGTCTCTTTAATAAGGAAAGTCACAGGAATGAAACAAAAGGGGTTGCAATGGATGCAAGAAATAGCCCTTTCAGAAAAGCATCAATGTTTAAATAAAGATACTAGCTTAACAAGAGCAAATAAGCTGCAGTACTTTCCTTTAGATAAGAAATAAGCAATGTTTAATCAAGTAGTAATTTTGCACCGACAGAACCAGTCCAGCTACTGAAAAATAACATTTTCCTGAAAAAACTTTCCAGTTCATAGGCACTGGAGTTATCCCAGAATAAGAATGCCCAATACTGGTATAGTTTGCATTCCTACCAGAGAAAATCGGAGCAGTACATTTATACTACTCTAACAGGGATAGTAAATGTTGTAAGCTATTCAGTAAAGTATTCGCCCTCCCCCTCAATCACAGATGTAATCACTGTCACATATTGCGGGATGGTCCCACTGCCAGGCAAGGGAATGCTAAACAGCATGGATATGAAGAGCTGGATTCCAGAAAAGGAGTGGCCACTGGGGAAGAGAAGCAAGCATGCTTTACCCTCTGGTTCCCATTTTCTTTTTAAGTGGCACGCAACTTCTGTGGATCTCACTACTGGGCACATTTTGTAAGGCAGAAAGTAATTCCACTATGGACTTATCTCTCTCTTCTACTAACACTTCCTTTGCAAGACCAGCAAGTAAAGTTTCTGTAAGGTCAAAATTGGCTTTTCACCCTCCAGAGACCCAGCTTGTCTTTTCAAGCAGTTTAATAGCCTTTATCTCCTGAAAACATTTCAGTTGTGTGGGTGGCTCCGCTGATCCCCCTTGCATTATAAATATATCTGAAAGCCCTGCAGACAGCATCAGGCACACATTATACTGCATAGCCACCAAGTGACATTTTTCTGTTGAATACACAGAGATTACAGGAGCACACACCAAGGATAACATCTATCCTCTAATGCCTATCAAAGCTAAGGAGACTTTGGACCAGCTCACAAGGCGGCCAGGCTGATTCTGTGACAATATCCATGCAGCTGCAGCTTTGCTCCCCCTTTAGATGCATCAAGGCACATTTTCCAAGCCTGTTACACTAGTCATCAGCACCTTCTTCCAAGCAGAAATAGCCCTGTGTAGGAGTACCAGAGAGGTTCTCGGCTGAACAAAACTTTCACCGCAGGAGAAGCAAAGTTCTGCAAGCCCAGCAATTAAAGACATTCACTGGGTAACAGGACATCTCTGTTCTGTACGTGGGGTACAACATGCTTCAATGAGACCAACTTCTAACACAGACCAGTCCTCACTCTATACTACTTCAGTGATTTCAAATAGCAGTGAAGAAAGCAGGAACAACAGTGTGGAAATGGGAAGTGATAGTGTGCACGTTCATGGGTATACTTGTACACACATTATTGTAATCTCTTTTTTATTACAGGTCCTGCATAGAAGATCAGTATCAAGGAAGAACACGACTCCTTCACAGAAGGCACTGTATCTGTCCTCCTTTAACATGCATGTGTTAGTTTATACATGCCTCAGCCACAAGCTATGATTTTTGTACATCTTAGTCTTTACTGCCCGTTTTCTCACCTATGAGACACGGGTTCTCATCATTCTGAAGATCAGAAAATAAGGATAGATTGATGTATTCACACTGGCTCAAGGTTCAGCCTCCGAATAGATCACCCACACTGATTACTTACACTGTCTCTGATGCTGGTTTAGGACACTAGTCTGCTGGTACAAACTCAATCATCTACCATCCAACAAGCTCAGTTGGGCTTGGGGACAGGTAAGAGCATACCGACAGAGCCAGGAGAGCCTGGGTCTGAGGCAGTCCCATGGTCACTTTAACCAATGTGTCGGATGCTGTTGAAAGGCAATGGCTCCCACTCCCCTCCCACCTACCTGCTCTTTGCCTGGCTCCTCTCTTACACTGACACTAGCATTCAGAATCAGCTGTCAAACTGGTAACTCTGCAAGAAAAAAAAAATCTGGCATAAGGAAAACAGTGAGAAAAACACAGCCACAGGCAAGAGGAAATCAAGACAATCCCTTTCTGCAGTAGATGTACATTGCAAAAGCAGCTTAAGTTCTTACAAAAAACAATTCCTGCAGCTACAATCCAAGCACATTTTCAAGTGTCACACAGTAGACAGACATGTATAAAACTTCAAATCAGGCTCTTATGCCTGGGCTAACATACCTACACCTTACATGATAAAGAAAAATAATCACAAGCCCTAATATATAAAGGATACAAACCAAGAACATAAACTTAAGAATATATAAGTATTCAGTGAAAGCTACAAACTTACTATCTGAATTCTAAGTCAAAGCATTACTACAGATTCAAAGTTGGTGCTAGACTGTGTTTTGGTTTTGTCACTGCCACTACTTCAGATTTCGAAAAAATTCATGTGTGCACTCAAACTCTGTCTTCAGGAATTCATCAAACATTTTTGAACAGATTAACAAAAATCTGAGAAGTGAGTCAAGCTTTTCACCTGCCAGGCCTACCAGCATCCTTTTTAATCAACATCAATAACTATTAGACACAGTAGCAACTGTAAATTAATGGCCCAATCATGTTTCATTCCTGACATTTATGATTATAACATGATCTCGATGGACTCATTTAGCATTAATAGTGCCATTAGTCATTAATGCAGCTAAAAAAATTCCCTTTGCAACTCAATATTAAACATACCAATTGATAATTATAATCTTGAAATATTACTGATTTTTCCTACGTTAGATCTTACAACTGAACTGTAAAGAAAATTAGACCTTCTGGCAGGTAAAAAGGGAATATTATGAGAATTTTGTTTCACCTAGGCCTTAAAATATCATGCAAAATAAGACCCAAAAAATAATAACAAAAAAAAAGCTTAAGTGAAATGGGAGAAAAATGGGTCTTCAATTAATCCAGAAGATGAGGAAGCCTTTAGAAGGCTCTGAATAAAACACAATCTCGGTTCAACTTTTGTGGTCTTCACTTCCATTAATAATTTAATTATCATATGTGGTACAGAGACCACCGTGTGCCTGCCAGGTTCCTACATGAGCTGCCAGAAGGAAGAGGGATATCTGTACTGATACATGGAAATTATACTCTGTGATCTCTTTGCTGTCTAACTCCCTCTGGTGCTGCAAAGCCAAGTACCCCACCAGCCCAGCCCCTTTGCAAATCACACCACTAATTTCTTAGTTCCCTTCTTCATGTTTTATTCATATACTGTGAATAGGTTATGCTTCCTTTTCCACATATTTTCTCTGCTTAAACCGTACACTGTCTCGGGGAAGAGACTGGCCCTTCTACATGTGGCAGTTCAGACCTGATAAGCACTCTTGCAATTCAAATGACAAAAAGTTAAAAGCTGTTAGAAATATGAATGACTGACAAGTCTAATCTGCAGTTTATGAGCCGTACATGACCAATGGAGCAGGTTGCTGGGGCTCACAAGTGCTCCCAGAAGGGGTAATTTATAAATTCAATCCAAAACATTAACAACTCCAGAGCAAGCACAGCACCATCATGGCCTATGCAGTGCCCAAACACTCCTTGGAGCAGGAGCCTGCTACTCCAGCTGATTCCTGCATCTCGTATCTTAGGTGGGAAATTATAAGTGACTTACTCTTAAGGGAAGATTGCATACTGTTAAACTTAACATATAAATCCATTCCATGCCAAGAGAAACTGCTCATGACAAGAGCAGCTGAAGGCACGCAGCACCTTGCAGGGCGATTTGGATCTTGCTGCGCTCTGTGCTAGCTCTGCCTAAGTCCGATCAGTCCTCCTGCAGCTCTGCCTACCACCACTTCCATAGCATGGGAACGTTTCTGAGAGGAGGGATGAAGGGGTTAGATTTTCACACACAGAGTCAAAGACGCTGATAATTGAAAGCAGCAAATTAAATTCATTTGGTACAATTTTATGCAGCTGGTGAATGAAATTTTCTTTCAAACACAATCTGGATAGTAAGGCTTAAAAATAAATTCTGCTGCTTTGTGTGCTGGTACAAGAAGAAGGGCCTGGTCTTTTTCCAAAGCCTCTCTCGATCCTCTTTTTTATTGCTATGCATTGCTAACTCCAAAAGGCAGGTTCAAAATCTCCAGTTAACACATGCAGAAAAAAAGGAGAAATAATTTTTACTTAGCAGACATCAGTTATGCAAAGGAGCAAATGAAATCCTTCTGATAGAGACTTTTCTATAACCAGGTCCAACAACTCAGAGCTCAGAATTACAGAAAACGCCAAACCACACCACTGGCACGTTAAAGGAAAGATTTTGTGATCCAAGCAAACAATTTTTTAAGAGACCTACATAACTGGAGCAGTACAAGATACTTTTACAGATTACATCGTGCTACAGCCATTGTGCATGATGTGCTCTAAGTATATTACAAGGAAATATTCATCCCTGATAAGGACCTTTTATTCAATGTGGCTTTGATTTTCCCTTACACACCTTAACAGAGCCTGAAAAATAGAAATCAGCTTCTCCCAAGCTTATTTGGGTGTTGAGCATTTGAAGCTCTAGGTACCTCAAAACTTTAAATACAGCAAAACAAGTTGAGTGCTGTCATCTCACATAACTTTGCTGACTGCAGAAAAACATCCCTGAAACCCGTTCCCTACCTCAGCTAATTCGCCTTCCCCTCATGGCCGCACAAGAGCAGAACAGTGCCAGTGACAGGCACTGATGCGCTGGCTTTTAATGTTGAGTTCAGATATCTTGTTGGAGCAATGCCATGACAGAGGCATTTGCTATTCCTTCTCCTCCAAGCTTGTACCGAAACACAAACAAACAAGGTCTTTGCTGTAAGACCAGTAAAAAGCAGTTTATTTTCCTTAAGGCAACATGAAGTACCTTTATTCGATTCTTATTTTCAGAATGCAAACCTAGTTTTATATTTAAGAGGACTTTTTAAAAGGAATTACGTTACAACCTAATTCTTCCATATTCTACTTAGGACATTCAAATAACCTTCCGAGTACTCCAGAGAACAATGCCCACCCCAAATTTCAGTGTTAGAAGGTTCTTTTTAAAGTTGCACATATAATACAGCTTTGACTTTTGAGGTTAACTCAAGCTTTATAAATATAGCACAGTGTCAAGTACTGCTTTCAGTAAGTACCGAAGAGTGAGTGCACCTATTTGCATTTTCCTCAAATGTCAATACTTCACTTGAAAAATAGAGTTGAAAAATCAGGACAGTTTTTCTCTTTCCCGCTCTGCAGCTACAAACAAGGTGGAAAAGTCAGAAATCTACTTGTTCTAGAAGCCTAAATGTCATAGGACCTGTCTTTTCTTTAAACTAGTGCCTAGCTGCATCTTTTAGTGTCAAAATGTCTTTTGCAAGTCAAGCTCCTAGTGACCAGAAACAACCACCTAGTAATGGCTCTGTTTAAAAATGTAGTTAATGTTATATGCAGGACACATTATGACAAATCAATCTCCCTCCCAGCCCCCTTTTCTTAACCTGCATTCAAAATACAAAAGACAGGGGGACAGGGAAAATAAGTTAAACTAAAATGAAAATATCATATGTTATTTCAGTCTCTATTCAAGTGTATTCAAACCACCAGTAATCAATTCTGCTATAGCAACCAATTACAAAGTTAACTGAAAAAAGCATACAACATAAGATTTAAAGGGGTTGTTGAAGTTTTCTATTTGCCAACACAGATCACAGTCACCATCAGAAATCTGTGTCTCTGGCTTGAATTGTTACCCTCAGCTCCACACTACAGCCATATGCTTCACATTAAAACAAAGGACAACCAAGGGTCCTTGAAGGATCAGACACAGTTATCTTTCTAAAATCAAGCACTTACCCCATGGTTGCATAACTAGGCACAAATGGACCTCTGCTTCCCCGTGATTTCCCTGCTGCTGCTAACATCTGCCAGCATCCCTAAACTGGACACCAAGAGGTGAGGAAACAAATGCAACACCTCAAAACAGTGGGGAGCAGGTGTCACCTTTGAGACTGACAATACAGAGGACTAGGATAGGTGAGCTGGCTCCCACCCTGCAACCACTTTGCTTTTGTCAGACACTAGTGATTTGGCAACCTCTGTTTGTTACCACAGACCTCCACCGATTCACAACTGTTGTTGATCTATTGAGAAATATTTAATGAGCACCACATGTTCCCCAAGCGTTCCAGGATGTAACCTAGCACAACAGAAAAACAAGAGCACTACACAGACAGCTTAATAAATGGCAAATCAAGCATTTTGGCTTTCGTGTGTGTCACAGTAATACATGCAGTGACCCATGCTCTCTGCCAGCTTTGGAGAGCCTCTGCCATGAATGGGAGTGACAGCATTGCCAACGGTACATCTCTCACTCCAGCTGGGATGAAGCACTCCGGTCTTTACAGCTGAAACCCCGATCAGCAGCTGGATTAAGGTACACAAATATCGCTCTGGTGTTGCAGGCCACATGCAGAATTTCTAGGCATACTATGAACACATCATGCAGCCGCATCTAAACTTATCATCAACATGAAGATAGGTAGCATAGAGGAATGCGATCAGAGGGCCCCATTTTCAAATTGTATTTAGAGACCTAACCAAAAAAAAAAAAAAAATAAACACCAATTTAAGAGTTTTCAAATCAGACTTTAAAAAAAAAATTTACATTCAAAGAGAGCAAGCATCCTACACCTTTGTTCACAGAGCAAGTTAGCAGCAGAGCTCCAAGTCTCCTCAACCCCCACAAAACACCATTCTCACCGCCACAGCTGCAGTTATGCAAAAGATATGTACAGCCATACGTATTTACAGCATGACACAATAAACCAACATAAAAATCAATGCTACGTTTTATTATGGGAAGTGCCATCCAGATGGCAGGCAGATCTCGAGTTCTTGCTGCAGGCAGCCAAGAAAAAGACCCTGGATGGAGGGATGCTGCACGGGCAGGCAGATGAGCCAGAAAATCAGCTCTCAACCAGCAAGACC